TGACTGTATGACTGACTGTCTGATTGACTGACTAACTGACTGACTGACTGACTGGTGGTGGTGCAGTCTCAGGTCACGTGTTTTTGACTACGCCTAACCTCCGATCGCAGTACTAGTACTGTAACAACGCACACCTGCGGGTGGTGCTATTGTACTGTAAACTGATCCACAGTCAGTGCTGGTGGTTGTCTGTTGGTGTAAACACCCAGGGTGGGGTTGTTGTAATGGCAGAGGGGCAGATTCCTGGGGGCAAACACAACATAATACTTTTTTTTAATGCAGAAATATTTGTCAACAACAGGTAACAAAAATAGTTCCAGGCACCGGTGTGGAACCATCAGTGATCTTTACTGACACCTGCTGGTGTCAGTAAAGATCACAAAGAGAACCATCGTCACCTCCTCCTGGCTCTGGTTCTGGTCCATTCATGTTGAATCATTCTGATTGGTTTAATTACTTTTGACCTCCATCCTCAGTAAAACACCTTTTTTTTTGTTGTTAAAGTTCTTTATTTGTCTTTTTTAATTTTTCAAACTGAATCCATCGATACTTTTACTGATGTTTATGGCCAAAATGACGCCACCTGCTGAAACATTTCACCTTTTACACCCGCCCTTAAACAAACATGTAATTTAATATAATTTATTCTTAATGTAATGTTATAGAATTTGTAAAAAAAAAAAAAAAAATTAACCCATTGTTGAAAACGTGTTACGTTGATGAGATTCAGATCCTGATCGTCGTTTTCTCTGTAACCCGTCATCGTTGGACGCCAGACGACACATGAAAACGGATTTTTTTTTTTAAGTGCTTTGGTGCCACAAACAAAAGAAAAATGTTCAGTCACCATCTGTTCATCTGCCCCCGGAGGCAACAGCACAAACTCATAAATCAATGGGAAGAAGAAACGGCTCATAAGGAGGAAATGATTCTGTCTGATCAAAACAGAGGATGATGAGTGTGTGTGTGTGTGTGTGTGTGTGTGTGTGTGTGTGCACGGACTTGTCTCTGCTGGGCGGGGAGTTGGAGGTGACGTGGGGGAGGGGTCATGTGACTCTCTGGTTTAAGTGTCACTCTGTCGTCTTACAGCCGCACATAACACAAATAACGTAGCTACGTGGCTAAGCTAATGGAACGACCTAAATATTAGCATTAATCTGGTTTTACATTAAACCTAAACTTAAACTTTATTTTTTAATAATAAACATGGATGTCCGATATTAAGTTTTTGCCGATATCTGACATGCCGATACTGTCACTTAATTCCGATATCATCCGATACCGATACACCGGCCTCGCCCCTTAATTTTTTGCCTGGTCGTATGTTCCTGACATCAGCATCCTCCATACAATCCACTGATTGTTAATATAGATGACTAAAATGAGCTGCAATGCTGCCATCTAGTGGCTTTCTCTTTCATATACAGCCCATTTTTTTTCCCCCGAAACTATTTTTAGGGCACATTTTTTTCCCCCCCGAAACTATTTTTAGGGCACACCTCATTTGACGAAACCTTCTCTTATCGGGTTTTCATTATCGGAGTTAAAACCGATAACGATTCTTACAGGTATCTCACCAGATTATGCTAATTTCTGTCGTCCTATTTTTAAAGCATTTCTCAGCCGTAAATGTGACACAAATTGCTGTAATAGAGATAAAAGGTTAAAGAGCAGCACCATGGACAGGGGGGGAGGGGGGGGTTCAGCACCCTGGTCAGCGGCGGTCACTCAGGGTCACTACAGTGATGGATGACGATTAAGAAAAATAAAAAATAAAAATCTTCTTCCTCATTTGTTTTTGTTTTTTTTAACACGGAGCTGAAAATAGTCCCGGTCCATCTACGAGCGTCGAACGATTCTCTGGAACGAAAGGGAAAATGAAGAAAACACTGGTTTGTTAATTGATCACAAATGTAACTTCCTCTCAACACGGAGCATTTAACGCACACACACACACACACGAGGAGGAGAAGGAGGAGGAGGAGGAGGAGGAGGAGGAGGAGTGACAGTAAAGTGCTTCTGATGAACAACAGACTGGGTTTGTGGTGAAAAATGTAATGACATCAGCTGCCCCCCAGGGGGATCAGTAATTCTTAAGCCGATTTAGATTTTTTTTTTTGTCAGTGAGAAAGTTC